CCCCCCACTATTGCAAATCTAAAAATGACCATGACCATTCGTTTGGTGGTCGTTTGGTGGTGTTTGGTAGTCCATTCCGGACGTTTGGTAGTCAAAGATATAATAAGAAATGTCAAAAAAAGAAGAACGCGCGTGAAGTTAGCCCCCCCATATCTAAAACTCGGCTTTGCAGACTGCAAATGCAATAATGATCGTAAGCATTCGTTTGGTGGTCGCTTACTGACGTTTGGTAGTCCATTCCCGATGATTGGTAGTCGAAATTATAGCTGGAAATATCAAAAAAAGGATATATGCGTGTGAAGTTAGCCCCCCATTTTTAAAACTCGGCTTTGCAAACTGCAAATGCCATTGTTTATTTGTACTTTTATCATACAATATCAAACAATTCACCAACAGTTTGCGCGAGATCAGAAATTAAATCGCTATCAGAATATTCTTTTTTAAAATCTTTGCTTTCGATTTGAAGATTCGTCGATCCATGATTTCGATCGTTTCTGGAATCGTGTAATTGATGTTTAATTGAAAAATCTGGACTGGCAATTCTACGATTCGGTTGCCATTTGTAGATGTGAATCGTTGGCTTTTGTTCTTGCCTGGATGTACCAGACGCATCAATGTTCAATATCGGTCGATTTGTTTCATCGTATGGTTTCGAAATAATCAATGTTGGCTGATTGAAACGTTGATCTGAAATAATTATTTTAAATTACGAACACAATAAATGTTGTTAATTAATTTTTTAATAATTAAAACACCGAATAAAAACAAATAAATATAATAATTATCGATACTCGCCATTATGTCTATTGTTTGGATCAATGTTCGAAATAGTCAACATTGGTCGATTGAAACGTTGATCTGAAATAATTATTTTAATCCTTCATTACTATTTTGACACAATAAATGTTTTTAATTAATTTTTTAATAATTTAGAAACTGAATGATAGCGAAATAAATGTGATAATTATCGATACTTGCCATTGTATCCATTGTTTGGACCTACGTTGTTCCATGTGGGATATCGTGCATTGACGGTACCAGCTTGCGAAAATTGTCTGTGATTACCACCAATTGTAAAGGATTGCGGAATACCAGCGGAAGATGCAGCACCGGTAATCGCTTGTCCATTTTCGATCCTTCCGAAAGAAGTTGCAGTTGCTTGACCAAAGCTAAGCGAATGGCTTTCAGTCTTGGCATTGTTACCGTTATTGTAAGCTTCCGCACCTGCGGTAGAAATTCCTGATAATCCCGCAGAAACAGTCGCCGATTTGCTTACAGAAACGGAAGACCTGAAAAGCAATTGTAGTTTATACATACCTACATGCTATTAAAAAAGAAACATTGACAATAGGTCTGTTCTTTATCGAAGAATCTAAACTAACACACACGGTGCAATATGTGAAACGAAACAAGTTAAATTTGTTACTTATTGCGCCGGTTCAGAGAGTTTGTCAATAAAGAACAGACCTATTTTTTGAATTTAATAATTGAAAAATTAGATGAAACTAATATTCGACTGTTTTACATAAAGTAAATACTATACATTCTAGAAGCGTTGGAAAAATATTTAATTTTTAATTATGTAATTGGAAATTAAATATTTGCGCTTTTTTCATGTTTCTTTTTATAATTCTTTAGCTTTTCTTCTACCTAATTAGAAGCGAATTTTAAATTTTATACAACATTATTTTGTACACACCCATCAATCTCATACCCCGTAGGACGATTGTGACTGTTACTTTCCGAAAGACTAATACCGTCGAGACTCGCACCCAGACTGACAGAGTGAGCATTGTTATTCCCTGCAGTTAAACTGACAGTCGCTGTGACGGGAACGAGGGAAAGGAGACGCATCTGGGGTTTCTCATTGTCTAAGATCTTGATGATCGACTCGGGCGTTAGTTCTGGTGATATATTCCATTGTCGTTCGTGTTCGTCTATTCAATGAAAAGTGTTAGTTTAAATATTTAGAAATTTAGGCGAGAAAATATTATACATGCAATCTTATATTTCACCAAAATTGCATACTTGCATCAATTAGGAGAAGATTGAGACTGAAGTCAAACAACATAGACAAAATTCTTGTAAATTTCCGGATGATAACATTTTTACGAAATATAAGCATAACTGATGGTTTTTTGTACTACTTGATTAACTAATTAAAAACTTAAATCAATTTTTATTCTCATTAAAACAAAGAGGTGATGATATTTTATAACGAACAAATCATAAAAGACTTGCGTTTCTATACATATAAGTTTAAACAAACGTGGACGTAACGGAATAAATGTAAAAATATGATTCACGTTTTGTTTATTTATTTGCTTCATATATAATAAATTAATAAAAAATAACGAGACAGATTTTATTGGCTGTTCGTTTTCTGATGACTATTTGCTTTTAATCATTGCAACTTTTTCACATTGTTATTTATTGCATTTTTTTAAATTATAAATGAAAGAAGAATGCAACAAATATGCATCTATTTTCATATTTTGTATTAAATTAATTCAAAGTTCATATACTATATAAACTTTGTATTAATTTAATAAAATATTTGAATTTATGTAGTGTGCATTGGAAACATATATCTTGCGTTTTTCGTCCTTTTTCGCATTTACGTAATCGTATTAATTAATATTAATAGCTAAGATTAAAGTATTGATTCTTTAGAATTATACACATACACAACACGCACACTCACGCGTGCTCGCACGCACAGAATTGCATTATATGTATAATATAAGATTAAATCATTACGAGTACAAATAAAAATTAATAAAATTGTCACAATTTATTAAAATTCAATTGTACTAAATAATAATTTTGTGAATATAACTATATCATATAGCATCAAAGAAAATAAAAAATACTGATAATACAGGTAACTCTTCTGTTTTTAACCTTTTTAACTTAAATTTGGAATACTATTATAACATTATTATTTATTCCTACTCGTAATGTAAGAGATTTAAAAAATTCTATGAATATATCAGAACGGGCACACAATATCACTACACCCAACAGGTTTAAAGCTGATATTTTCAGTGGCAATTGCAGTACGATATATTTGCACTTATCACATATACATATATGCGTTGTAAACTTATTTCCATTTGCTAGAAATATTTCTCTCACCTGCCCGAACAAACGACAACGCGAACATTAATAAAAGAATGCTGCCAATGTTCTTGGCCATGTCTGAAAACGTTCTGACTTGATCGTGCCATCGCTCCACCCTTTTTCAATAACTACGCATGACCTTAGATACGTTATTAAAATGCAGGACGCGTTCGACTACGTAATTCTCTTTAGGTATTGTTGCTCGATGACACGAATCACGAGATAGAATTATAATTCTCAATGATCAACAGGTACCAGTGATCATTGAACTTTTTGAATTATATAGTTATTTAACGTACACGTGATTAAATTAAGAAGAAGGGTTATAATAAAATTTTATAGACATGTTTAAATAGCAAAATAATTTTTTATCTTCTATGATAGTAATACAAGACAGTTTTACTACAGTTAATGATTTTTATTAAAAAGTATCAATATAATTAAAATTTTAAATAGTAGTTAATAATAATTTTTTAATGCTCGATTAATTAAGATTTCTTCGCTCTAAGTTTCTTTATATGCCTTATTTTTTCTTGTTTAGTCAAACAATATTTAGTCAAAACAATATATATATATATTTCTTATTTAAAATTAAAAAAAAACCTATTTGAAATAGAAGCACAAGCTATCTGACATTTTAAATAAAAGTTGTTGTGCATTTTAAATATCATAGATGGGATGCATTCCAGTGTCCTATTTCTTATTTTATATTTTTAATAATTTCTTGGAATCTCTATTTCTTATAATATTTTACATAAATTTTTGGAACCTATTTCATATTTATTATTTTGAATAAGTCGTATCACTCTTTTATCGACTCTTACGATTTTATATTTAAAATAAGTTTCTCATGGAATTCATTTTTTATTTTTTATTTTAAATAAACCGTTTCAGTTATTTTACCGAGCCTAAAGTTGACATAATTCTTGAAAAGTCTATTGGAGGATATTTATATTCTGTACGTTGCTTCGATACGTTGCTTGATGCAATGCTCTCAAATGTCATTGGATTTTCATTTTCCTTCGGTACATTACTTGATATAGTACTCTCAGATGTCACTGGATTCTTGTTATCTTCCAACTTCTCTTTGTTATCTTCCATATTTTCCTTATCGTCATTTTTTACCGGTGTAGATTGTTGATTGTTTGCCGAAGTTACATGTTCATCCGGTGCAGAACTTGTTACTTGTACTTGTGGTTTATTGTTTGATGCGGTGTTTACAGGTATCGATTGATTATTTGTAATCAAATTTCTTATAACTGTAATAAAGCAAATGCTTAATGACTATATGTATATTAAATGAATATATCTTTTATTGTGTATACCTTTTAAAAACTTACCTATTACGAATTCATGTAAGTTGATTAGTGCTTTATTAAATTCCTGGAGAAATGTATTTAGAAAGAGTGGAAAAATGAATCCTTTATCGTTCGCATGGTCTAAAGTATCTGTGTTTATAGGAGATAAATTTATCTTGGAATTCATGTTCGCATAATTTGGAAAGTTTAAACGATCAAATAATTTCGGAGCTACCGTCCTGAAATTTGGGACGTGTATTTCTTTCGAATAATCTAAATCCTCTAAATTATCGAATGATGATCTCCAAATTGAGGGAAAACCTACATTATAACATAAACTTATGTTTATTTTTAAATAAAAAAATATATGTTGCTGACATCATATTTATTAAATTTTATACATTTAATGAAAGTATAATTAAAAATTTATCCAAAATTTTTAAGAAAAAGTATGTAATTTTCGAAATATCACTATACTTACGTTGTATTACGTAATACTACGGCGTTACAATTTTATTAAAATTAGCACTTGATATAATATGAACATATATTATTGTATTATCGATTAGCATTGTACAAGATTAAAAATATAATTTAAATGTTATAACTTAGATAAATGCATGAAACTATAATAATCAACAATTGTTAAATACAATTGACAAGAAGTTATTAATTCGTCGATTTCATACTACTTCTACTAAACTTTAAAAAATAGCAATATAAACTTAACACCATACGATGTCTATATAATTCTCACTGCGTTGGTATTAAATCATGCTAGTAATTTAACATCAACATGATGAGAAGTATACATATAGACATCACATAAGTATTAAAGCCATGAACATTTTTTAGAGTATATAATGCAAAGAAAAAAGTTAATAACAAATTAAATACATTCTTGGTCGTAACATTTCTTTTTCTGCAGAATATTAGTGAATGTATTATTATTCTGATTTATCAACATAATATAAATTATAAGAATTAATTATACTGATGTACATAACACTGTGTAACCACAAAAATTTTCCAAAGGGCACGTGGGTTTGGTTATGTCGGGGGCACGGCCCACTACCATTTCCCCAAGGGATTTGGCAAAGTTAGATCGTACAAAAATGGGGAATCAATTTATAGTTACGAATTTTGAGGAATACAGGTAGCGCGATTTGAGGTCAAATATATATGATAACAAATATACGCGCATGTTAATATTTTTTTCATCACGCGTGCACGTAATGTGCCCTATACCTTAACGCTTTTGCATGCGGTAAATAGCCAATACCTCAAGCCGTTGAGTTATTACTCTAATCCCACTCTTCTGCACAAAAACGTTGCTGTATAGGGCACATTACGACGAGCACTTGTAATGAAAAAGTGCTGACTATTTCTATCAGTTTCAACGGCAGTTCTCATTAGTTCTCACAGAGTTCTATGCAATGCAATCATTTATAAACAGAGTTCCGGCCTCTACATATTTTTAATCAATTTTTTAATACCTGAGTCCAACACGTCACTTTTTCTAGAAGTTTTATGCCATTTTCTATATATAGGATGTATAAAAATTGTTACATGTTGTTATTTTATTTTGAAAATGCATATCTTAGTTGGTTTTTAGTAGAACTATCGGGAACTGTTGCTAAAAGTGCAAATATTAATTTTTTTCTCGTACTTTAGAGGAAATCTGACGTTCCAGATTCGCGTATAGTTAGCACGCCATATTTTCAATTTTAGTTTTTTCATATTAAAACTGCGGAACTATTTTTTATTTCTAGGTAGAACTGTAGAACTATGAAAAGTGCTACTGGAACTGTTGTAATTTTTTTGATATCGACAGAATGTCGTGCCAGCTTCACAGATCCTACTATCTAATGCTATCTCATGTATTTGCAAAACAAAGTTCGCTCTCGCGCGCATAATTGTGAGTGTGAGTATGTGTATGTATGTGCGTGTACGTATTTGTGATAATATTTGATTTCAAAACCATGAGAATAGCGCAACTGGTACTCCTCGAAATTAATAACTTCAAATTTATGCCCCATTCTTCTACAATCTAACTTTACCAAATCTCTTGGGAAAATGATAGTGGGCCGTGTTCCCGACACAATCAAACCCACGCGCCCTTTGGAAAATTTTAAAAGTTGAAATCGATCACACAGTGTAATTAATCACTTATTATTTGTCGGCATTCTCTTCATTTACGGTTTATTAAAAATATATACATATGTGTCCTATGTTCTGAATATTCTGTTTTTATAATGTTATTTTTGTATAATTCACATTCTTATTCATTAAAAGCCTACATTATATGATATAAGCATATTTTTAATATTCCAGTAGCACGTAAATTAAAATTAAGTTCTTTATACTAAATTATTTTGCATTTGTAATACTTGTACAGAAATAAACAATCGCGCGAACTTTCGATTATTTAAGTAACGTTTAAACAATTATATTAATATCAAATTATCTCAGTATTTTTAAATTTTTAGATAATTAAGTTGTCGTATCTCTTTATATTGAGTAATTTAATAATTTATTACATCAGAACTAGTTAGAGTCATATAATAAATATGGAAAAATATAATGCATATTTATATAAAACAAAATATGTATTAGTTATTACCTGCTATCCCTTTTACAGTGATAAATATTGTCAATAATACAAAGCTCTTCATGATTTCGCTTGATAAATTGAATGTCTTATGTCGCAAGAGAGAGAGAAGCAAACGCTTGAGCTAGACCTTCCTGAAGTTTCTTAGAGGGGTTCTCAGCTTATATATAACCAAAAAATATATATTCTCTGTACTAAGATAGTAAATTTTAGCTCTAGATATTTGGTCTATGTTAATGGTTCACTTTTCGTTACTTCTGTGTATACGGGATGTCCGGTAAGTTTTGACGAAGCGTTTATGTACAGATAGAATAAATTAAATTGACAATGAGTTGAAGAGTCCTTCACCCTTTTCCCAATTTTGGAATTTTTTTAGTTACCCAATGTGAACAGAATGCCTAAAATTGATGCATAAAACAACTTTAAGATACTTTTAAGAGTTTTTTTGAAAAAAAAACATCTTTGAAATATTTCACGTAGAACTTTGAAATAAATCTTAAAGGTGTCTTATGCGTCAATTTTATCAGCTTTGACTATCTTTAAAAATTGATATCTCGTTTATTGTTGTGAAAATTGCAAATATAATATAGTATCGGACTTTTTGACTCAGTTTAGTCCACTCTATCTGTACACAATTGTTTTGTCAAACTTATCCAATACCCTGTATATGGTATTTTTGTATGTTTCACGGTGCATTTGACTGTAAAAATTTGATAATAAGCCAAAGTGTTATCTTCTAAAAGTTTGAAAGGTATTAGGCATTCTTCTATCAAAATTCTTGGAGGCTTGTATTTTAGCTTTTAGAAAATTCTTGAGTCAATGAGAAAACACGTGCACAGTAATTCTCTGTTCCTTATCTATTTTCTTTACAATATATAAGTCTTATGAATTATATGTATAATATTAAGAAGTGTACATACAACACAAATCTATTGCAAAACGTCTTGTTTGCAAAACTCGTAATACTTTTCGTGAACATTCGCTGCTGCCAATAACCGACGGATATCTAAAAAAAGAATTGTAATGCTATTGATGAATTCTTTGACGATAACATAATATTAATTGGACTCTTAAAATTCAAGTAACAATAAAAAAGCGTTAACTACGGGCAAGTGAGAACAAAAAATGTATTTAAATAAAACAATACAAAAAATTAAGTAAATACAAAGGCTATTAAGAGTCAACGCTGTTAGCAGTGCGTAAAAATTTAATCTTAAAATCTATATCATAGATATTATGTCGAACGTTTCGATCCTACGTTTCGGATCATCATCAGCGACAATACAATATAAAATTAAACATTACTCAGAGTTGCAAACAATGATGTTGTTCCGCAGTATGTAATATACAACCAATCTGAGGCAAGACTATCACTTCTTCAGGTGAAAGTATGTACATTAGTTCGAATAATTGAGTATGTCTGTGAATTATATAATCAAGAATTATAAATTACCTTAAAAATTTTTTTAAATTATAAAATTTGATAAAACAGTAAAAATTAAATACTCAATAAGATTACCTCAAGTTGTTCGACAAAAGACATAAAATCAATTATATCACAGAAATGAATAGCCTTTGTATTTACTTAATTTTTTGTATTGTTTTTGAAACATATAAGAGTCTATAATTCAATTATATTATTAATTTATTAATTTTTTATTTAAATAAATAAATGAAAAAAGGTGTTTTGTTCGCTGATGATTTGAATTAAACAGAAACGTTCGATCGATTTTTGCCAATTATATTATACGAATAATCACAAATACAATTATACAATTGTCAAGTTAGCACACAAATTATAGCACAGAATTTCTTTTTGCTTTTACTTACTCGTATTTAATAATTTTTTAATTGTTATTTAAATTCTTTGACATAATATTTGATTATATTACACTCGAATTCGTTTCTTAGATTAATTATTTGTTATCGAGTTTATCCAAATAAAAAGTTACGCGCGTTATATATGGTTTATTTAAATATTGATCAGTCTTAATAACTGTACATGCTAAGAGAGAGAGGTCAATAATCTTTAAAAAAAAGAATATCACGTCTCTTAATCATTAATAATGCATAACTAGTAAAAAAATCTAGAAGGCTACACGGAAACTGCCGAATCAGATGATTAAACAAGGTTAAACACATTAACAAGGTTAGATATAAAGCCCAAGTTATTTTGCAGAATGCAATATTTATAAAATTATATATAAAATTATACAAATATATGTAGTGTCGAATAAAAAATATAAAAACTTACTCTCTATCAAAAATATATTAAAAGTTACTCTCTTTCATCCATGTGTTTGATTGTTTACATTATTAAATGTATGTAGTACATCACTGATATCAAATCTTGACTGAAATTGTTTAGAGTCTTGATAGTTGTCTTGTATAAGTGATTTTTTAGATATTTGTTCTATTAATTGAAAACACAATGAAATTGATATCATAAATTGTAAAATATATAAAGAATACATTTTATATTAATAAATTGGTAAAGAAGTTTTCTGCTGTTTAACATTTTGTTATTTATAAACACAGAATGGTTTAACTTGTCTTAATACATTAAAAGGATTATATCATTTTCATTAAAAAAAAAACGGATATATCAGTATTTTCTAATTAATAAATTGTTTAATTAAATAAAAATTTGTATCTTATAAAAATATGTTATGTCATACAATTAAAAAAATTTTTACATATACATCTTTTTTGACTTTGAATAAATAGGGGGGTCAACATATACATATATAAAGTATATGTACACTTGACTATAGTAGTTATGCTTGCTTTATTTGTAGATAGAGCATGGTATCTTACTTTCGAAAACAATAGGGTGGCCAGGAAGGAGCAAAGTAGCTGTCAGATTATTGCGCAGAAGGTAATCAAGTTTCGCGATGGGTTTTTCCCGAATAGCCGCGTCATTTCGTTATTTGAAAGAGAAAAAAGTTTATTTAGGCAGAGAGAGAAGGGGAGAGAGAAAGCAATTGATGCTGTGAAAAAGATTTTAGGGTATTTAAGTTTTTAGTATCAAAAACTTAAAAATGTCATAGATAAGTTCTTGGATGACTTAATAATACTTATTTTAATTAATATTTTACTGTTTTTTTTTTACAACAGAATGTGTGTCAAGCGATATCAAAATTAAATTAAAAATTGCTTTACAATTAAAATGTCATTATCAAGTGATTAACTCAACTTTTATATTGAAAAATAAATGGAAAAGAAAATAGATATATACATTATCGTTTTTGAAAATAGAATTGAAAATAAGTTCAGTAAATACATAAAATATTTATTTGCTCTAAATCTTTGTAACTAATTAATAAATTAAACTTTATATAAGTTATTTTTTAAAAACTCAAAATATTTATAACTTAATTTATAAACAAATGTAGATTTTTGTTATCATTTTTTAGTTTTAGTTTATAACAATAAAATAATAACAAATAAAATGAACTATAAAAATGTGTTGTTCAATAAAAATAGAATGTTATAAATACAATTTTTGTATGTATATATTTTGATTAAAGTATAAATTAACACATTTGTATGTAAAACTAGGTATAATACATCCTTAACGTCGATTCCTTAATATTTTGATAGTGGACATTTTTCATCGAAATGGAATATTTTTATCGCTCATTTAAAAAATATGTACGTTTGAGTCACGTCGCGCCATGACTAAACGCAACAATATCATGAGTAAAAGGCGGTGCATCGTGTTAAGACACATTTTACTTATGCTAATCATATAATTCGTTTGAATGAAATATTACTGCGCATAGAAGTTCCACGAATGCAACTGAGAGGGTACTAATCTGTTAGTTGCTAGCCGATAATCAATTGTAGGATTACTCTGATCGATTAATTGGAAAATACGCGCTCGAGCTTCGGGCGCGGGTTTAAGAGGGCCAGAGAACGATGGAGTAATCACTATTATCCTGGATCGATTATCAGTCTAACAGGATGTGGAAACCGGCCGTGATCGTCTAGTGACAGGCCATTATTATTTATAAACAATTACGCGCAAATTGACGCTATTAATGACGATACTAGGTGAAGTATCGACTACTGAAAAAATTATGATTGATGGCAATGAATGTATACATACTATTGGATTTTGCAATTAAAGGAAGCTAAAGTTATTCCTAATCAGATTATCAGAAGTGATAGGTCACGGAGAAATATTCTTATATCTCAAAGAGATATTAGAGATATTTTAAGCAGTAATGCTTACTGTCTAACAATAAGTCCCGATACTATCTAATGTGTTTTCTTTCAATCATGAGTACTAAGGAATAAATTGAAAAACATGTTGATTATTTCGATTTGTATTAATAGCGTTCAGGATATACATAATTGATAAATAATTAAAACCTTTCCGGGATATATATTATGTGTCGAAACATGTACATTTGTTTAGAAAGGATTAGAACGGATTTTAAAAATGAAGAAATTATAGAAAATTAAGTATGATAAAAGTAAATTCTATTTAAATAGTTTATAAGTATTTTATTGTAATAATTCATAAATATTATAAAAGCGAATACTTATTCTCATCTATGCGTAATGATAAAACAAATTTATTATACATATATGTATATCAGTTAAATAGGCACTGCGGAAAAATACTTGGTTTTTCTTTCAATTCGTTGCAATTTTATATATAAACATGATAACTTGAGTCTCATAAATGCAAATACTCACTAAAATCTAAAAAAATGAAAAACTACAATTAACGCTTGGTTTCTTAATATGGAAATATTCTTCACAGTCTTAATGTACGATTTCGACATTGTATCTTACGATTATAATCAATGATCAAAAGAAAACGTTTTTGCCGTCCATGATTATTTCCTACTTACGCTACTATTATCGCGCAGGGTTATCATGGTGCAAGTAGAAATGAAATCATGTGTTTTTCCCAAATAAAAACAACATAACAAGAATTGGGATGGTGTGGTATAAAGAACAAGATCACTGTCAAGGTCTGAACGATTCTATTCTATTAAAGCAGATTTCACAGCAAATTAAACGAACGTAAAATAATCGTGGAACAAAAAAATATTAATTTTGCTAGTCGATTTTTTAAGTAAATTTATAATGTAAAATCTCGACATATCCCTATAAAAAATTATGTTATTTAATAAAAACAATGAATCAATTTCTTTATTTCAATTTATAGATTTATATATAGAAACTATAATTATTGTGAAAGCTATAAGATAGGCAAAATATTTTGACTTTCATTTTTTACAAATATAAGCTTTAATAATCTATTTGTTTAAATCAAAAGCTATATTGAAAATTTGAACAGAAGAAGAAAACAGTAAATATTATAATTTAAAGCCATTAGTTGATGCAATTACAATTCAATGGAATAGTGAAGTTGAAAAATAGTTTTATTTGCGAATTTTTTTATTATAATTACGATGACAAATGGAATTACTGTATACTTATAGCATTCTTACAATAAACGTCGATAAAATTTTGGAAATCCACGGTTGGATATTTACGTGACGCTTATCGATGATATGACATCAAATTTCTTTTGAAGTTTTCATGAACGCAATATCGCAAAGAAAAAAAGCCAGAAGGTAATGAAGTGTTAATACGAGTGGATGCTATATAAGATGATCGCAGCACTAGTTGAGTCAGTCATTCTTTTGCAGACTGCGGCAACATCAGGATCATTCGGTCTTTTACGCGATAAAATAGTGATATATAAATAATAAGCAATAATATACACAGGAATTATTATTTCTCGGGTTTTCCGCGTTGACTTACTTCATCGACTAATCGACGATATCATCAGAACAATGGATAGTAGGATCTTTGCACTATTCGTTTTCGTTGCTGTTCTAGGATCCTTTACGGAAGCCCAATTTGGTTATCCTTACGGATGTGAGTAAGCGATAATCTTGAGGCTCGATGTTTTTCATTCATGAGCGAGTTTAACAGTTTTCTATATGTTTACTAATGTGATACTATACGTTTATGAACACACCAAATATTTTGACATTAATTGTTTTCCGCAATTAAAACTCACATTTGGATTGTAATTGCAATATAAAAGAATTTTTGTGTGAGAAAATCTTTATATTTTTTTATTACAAATGTTTGCTACTATATCCAGTGTACTAATATTTATAAGAACAAAGTGAAAAGATAAATTACGTACTGGACAGTAATATATTCATCGCAATTAAAAAGAGATAATGAATTCGATGCATAATGACATTTTTTCTTCCATCTTCATTCATTTTTATCGGATAATCTTTTTAGTGTTTTATGCAATATGTGATATAATACGTCAGTAATATCAAGCTAATTTTGGAATGTTAATTGTTAATGAAATAAAATTATTTAAAAAACTGCATGTTATTACATACAGCAAGGTTGATAAAAATTAAAGCCAATATTAAGTTATATAACAACAACGTCGTGCATTTAACCAGAAATAGCTGACGGTGCGCGGGAATTTCAGGATAATCGTGAGAGTAGCAAACGCAGCAAAATTCCACGACGAATTCGATAACGGATATATATGATTTCATAATTTTTATCAATGCTAAAGAGAAGGCCTGCTGTCAGACTGTCGGTATTCTCTTTCTAAACGTAAACATTCAGAAATTGTACGATCGTAGATAAAGATACTTCGAAAAATGAATAACTTAAGATAATCTTTTATTTATGACAATAATTATTTTGCTATCAATATTGTCGTCACTAATCTTCATTAAAAATCTTTTTACAGACATTTCATAACCTATTGTTAAGTCACTAAACAATTTCATTCAGTTTTGTGATTTGTAATAATTTATTTATGATTTATGATAATTGTGCAAATATGTTCATTTGTGTGTGGCAATTTACACATTTAATTTCTTCTTCTTCTTCTTCGAGATTAATATAGTAACAATAGTTTTTATTTGTAAATAAGAATATAATTTCATCATATATATTTCATATATATTTCAGCCATAATTATTATATATTGATTTTTATTATACACGTTACTTACATGGTTATGTTATTTTTGATATTTTATATAATCATAATTATATTGCAATATTTAGATATATGACAAGAATTAGAAAAAGAAAATAATAACACATGCATTGTACATAATTTTATTTAATGCAACTGACAAAATGATCGCTGATTGTTTTATGATAATGAAACGTAGAAACATAGAAGATTGTTGCATTAATATTGTTACGCGTTTAAGTCGTCGTGATGGTTAAGAACGCGAACGATATTAATCGTGATAACCAAAATTGATGTTCGTCTGTGCAACCATGCGTTTTCCGTGATGCAGCATGCTCGTCTGCGTATATAAACACATGCGTAACTGCTAGCCAAATGAAGATAATTTGACGCCTGTAGACCGTGACCTCATTTTGTTCTTCACCTTGACTTATAAGAAGTTACTTTCTTTTTCATTATCTTCTCGTATTTTCTCTTTTTCGTTCTTTCGTCTCGTGTATAACACGATATTCCTATCATGTTGATATATAAAATATACGACACTAATTGATCTGTCACAGTGTACTTCTTTTTGTTTAAACATGTGGAATTTACTATATTTTATGTTACAAAATGTATTTTTTAACATAAAATGGAAATTTACAATATATAATATATATATACGTATTTGCAGTAATGAGATAAGTAAATAATAGAAAGTTAAGTGTTAAAAGAGTTTTATAGCTGTATTTAAATACCTATACAATATTAATAAATAAAGACGAAATGATAAGATGAAGCATACATAAATAATAATTTACTTTTTGAACGTGATTTTAAATATCATGATGTTATTGAAAAAGAAATACTACGGGTACGTGGTTTATCAAATTTACGTGTCATTACAATTTCAATATTGTCACGTTTCACATGCTGTAAATTATCATTCATTTTTACTTATAATACGCTGAAGATGAATCGGCGATAAAAATAATTTGTTCGCAAACTATGTTTTATTTATTATAATCGGCAAGTTTTTTTTATATAATTTCATAGATTAATGGTTTTTATTACAAATTCTCTAGTTTAAATTCTGGATTACAAAATTATAATTTTAATGTCGTATATTTTATATGAATGATTTAAAAATGTTTCCTAAACATTAATGTCTTCTTTTAAAATATGATACATTATAGCATTTAAATTATAGATCTGAACACATCACATTATCTTTATTAAACATTACTATTTACACAACATTGTGATCTGTAACACATCTATTAAATGTTATCTATTACGAGTATCTATTACATTAGACATTATATATTATACGCATATTGTAATTGTGTGAGTGTGATTATATAGTAATAATTGTAGTACATAACTACGTGTCTCTGGTGATGGAATTTTAAGATATGCTCATAAGACATGTTGCAACTAACAATGCTTTTTTCAACTAGTAGCTGAGAATCATCAACAAAACGAGTTTCATCTTAAGTAGCAACAATCGATAAAAAAATTGCTCTTTTGTTTTCGTTTCTTTTCGAAGCTGGAGGACTGCACGCCAACAGACCGTTCGCCACGATGTCCAGATTGAGGCGAGAAATTGACAATTCGAATGGTGAGAGTACCACCGAACCTACTACCAGTCAAGAAACGACAACTTCCTCGACAACAGATCCCACAACAACACCATCACCGACTACGCCATCATCGACCACATCATCATCGACCACACCGTCATCGACCACACCATCATCAACTACACCATCATCGACTACACCTCCAACGTCGCCTACAACTCCATCCACTGAACCAACTACTACACCCACTACTACCACAGAGGCGACGTCTCCCATGACTACTCCCACATCCACTACTCCAACAACTCCATCCACTACGCCTAGCACAACTCCAGAAAGTACGAAACCAACGTCCGAGAAACCGAGCGACATTCAGCCACGTTCGAATGTCGACGAACCTGAAGCCTCTACTAAGAAACCTGAACCAGCGTCTAAGAATGAAGCGCCAACTCCTGGACCATTTGGCGCTCCCGGATTTGGACCCGGATTCGGACCCGGATTCGGACCTGGATTCGGACCCGGATTCGGATCTGGCGGTTACGATCCAGGTTTCGATCCCTATTCTGGATTCAATTCTATACCAAGTTATAATCCGAATTACGCATGGACCGGTACAAACAACGGGCCCGGATTCGCATCCGCAGGCGCGTCCGCTGGAAGTTTTGGATATCCAGGATATTCAGGATATCCGGGATATCCAATGGGATTTCCCACGGCGGCTTCACCGACGGGATCGCCGTCTTTCGGTGGTCGAGGAGGATTTCAAGATAATTTACCTAATCAGAATAATTCACCAAATAAGGACGACTCACCAAGCAAGGATATTTCACCGAACAAGAATAATTCACCAAATCAAAACGGATACAATTTCGGTGGAGGTACGAGCATGAACCCAAAAATGCAAGGACGAAGACTGACTCAGAATTTTGGAGAATGAATTGGGGTTGCATGCTGTGGTTTGGATTTCTCGGTGTTTGTAAAAGATTGGCAAAAGATTTAAACCAATTGGATATCAAAGACAAAGAAGAAACATCAGAAAAAATGCATGTTATTCTGTTGAACATAATTGGATCTTATACCACATAAAGCGACTAATGTCGTAATAATTTTCGACATTTATTTATTTATTTATTTATTTTATTATATTCGCGTGCGTTTGTACATTTATATTATTTATTTATATATTTATTTATATGTATGTGTGCATTTATGGATTTATTTTTATTTGTTTAGGTATACTTAAATAGTCTATATTAATTTATATTATCTTTAAATAAGTAAATGTAATCGCATGTATGGTATATGCATGATTTTTACAATATGTTATTATTTGTATCTTATCGTGTACTGTATTTTTTCACAGATCCGTATAATCCAGGACCCGGATTCGGTTACCCAGGGTTTCCTAATTTTAATGATCCTTATAATATGTTCAAACAAATTCAGGCACAGATCGAGGCGCAACATAAGGCGTAAGTCTTCAAGTAAATTGCAAATGATCGAAACATGAAATTAATTTATCCGGAATTCCTTGAAATTATACTCATGAAATCATTTACACTTACACAATTTCCACATTGTTTTAACATTTAACATGTCAAAGAATTCTTTCAAGTCTGTCATTTAGTTAATAAAATCGATCTTTCTTTAGATGTAAATTATAGATTATTTTTATAAATAAATATGTTAAATAAATTTTTAGAAATATTGAATGAAGTATTTTAAATGTAAAATATAACTTTTTATTTATAAAATTTTATTTTGCATTAAAACAGCATTATCTCTATGACTTATTACTACAAAATTTTTTATTATTTTCTTTTTTTTAATGATATTTCTTCCCATATAATTTTGTTTTCAGAATCATCTAGTTTTTTTATCATAGAGATCAAGAAGAAACATTCAACATTTTGCATCTCATATTTTCAGTTTTTTTTAAATGTGATTGCAAGTTGTTATTCATACAAAAATTGCTAGAGCATATTGTAAATAACATTTTTTATTGTATATATAGTAATATGGAATTTCACAATCGTTTGGCCAATGAAGCCGCTAATTATGATGGCAGAAATTATGGTAGCGGCGTACCGCAGGTTGCAAGTTCCAGCATTGGTTTAGGTCCATATGGTGGTTTTCAATCTGGCCAAATCAGTCCCGTGAGTCTTACGTTTTTTTCACGTTTTATTCCAGCACGCAAAAAGCAATACAGAAATTGTCCAGTTAATATGCTTCATTTTGCACACAATCAGATTCCAGTCTACTCAATATAGTGTTTATTACCGGCGATCTCTCCATCATAGGCTTCTCCAGGAATAGAGTCCAGATTTGCTGAAGATCTTCCTCCGCCATCGGGTAATAGCTTCGGAGTATTCTCTAGTTCGAGTTCCTCCAGCATGACCGGTCCGGATGGTAGACCGATTAACCATAAGTCTTCCATTACTGGCGTTAATGATAATGGAAAGATTTCTTATCGTACTCTGTACGATTAATTAAATTACGCTCTTAATCGTGTCTAAGTTTATAATCATTAATTTACTATCATGTACTAAATAGAACGTACCATGATAAAGTTTTATAATTCAAAATTGTTGATGTTACAAAGTAAGGTTGTGACATAAAATTTTCGAAACTCAGCCTCAAATGTTTCTTTAAGATTACCACACAAATACTCAAGTTTCTCTTCGAACTAATATTTTTTCTTCAAAGTTATATAATTTTTACGTGATTTTCTCTATAATTGTTAATAACTTTTGATTCTTTGATAATTTGTTCGCGAGAATTGTTTGCGATATACCTACTTAAGAATCTTGATAAAGTCTTCTTTACACAAGTATTGTGTTCTACTCGAGTAATATTGAGTAAATGCAACATTTTTAATGACTATTCTGCATTTATAATTATTAAAATAATATATTCATATTATTGTATCTACTATGTAATGCATAAATTAAACTATTGACGCTTTTACGGTGATTTCTTAATTTTATTATGTGATCGTTAAATTGATTTTATAACATGATTAATGTTATAGCAATATTTACATCATTAAAGCTTTACAGTTTAATGAATTATTTAATAATTATAATTGTCGCTGGATTTGGTCTTGCTAAGTGGTGGTTCAATTTTATCATCCACTATGGGTCTATCTCGTGTCCATGTCTTATGACTCCGAAATTTCACGTTACCATGATTTCCATAATGATAATTCCAATACATTTGTGGCGGTCGAAAAGTTCGTCCATGCCAGGGCTCACCATATCCATGATAATTAAATTGAATCTGTCGACGACAGAAGAAGAGCATGTTTTTAAGATATTGGAAATATAACAAGAAATTTTTTTAATCTCTCTTCAGATTATACAGTTGTGTTAAATTAAGGAGATATAAAATTCTGCAAAATTCTATTTTTGTATACTATGTAATATAAAAAATATTTAAAGACGTATACATCTCTATATAAAACATACATTAAATATACACAATATTTAAATACGATCGTATATAGAATATAGCATATAGAATTATAAATAAAATTCTATTTAAAATCTATACACAAATTATAAATCAAAAGTGAACTCTAATTACTTTAATATTAATTAACTCTCATACATACAGTGAAACAAACAAATTTTCTCACCTGTGGAATATTATTAAGATTTAAACGCGCTTCTACTGAACGTGGCGAATTTATTGAATGAAAACTCGGTTGCTTATTGTAGTCCTCACTGACACCTCGAAAACCGTTGATTACTGGAATATCCTCGATCTTAACATTCGGTTTTGCTTTTGTCATAATGCTGAGATGCACCTCGGTGACGATATTTCCTTTTTCGTCTGATTTCGAAGAAATGGACATATTACATATACCGTATTTGCAAGCATTTTCATCTGGTATACTGTCGTTGCTGTTTACAACGACTTGAATATTATTGATTATTTTTGGTTTTTTCGCTGAATCTTCCTACAATAAAATACTATTTAATTATCGCATTCCCTTAAAAGAACTGCAATAGTTTTTAACGCTAATATATTATATTATATAGTTATACATTAACTCTCTAATAAAAATATATTATATAATATTTGAAGTAAAATAATTAATTTTTATAATGATTGATCGGAACATTGTAAAACTCCTTAATACAACATGAAAATTATTTAATGCCATTTTACCAATGTATAGATTAACTTTCATCTCAGTTCAATTTACTCAATTAGAAAAAGCTACAGAGTTAGTTGAGCAGAGATTAAAATTAAACTTTAGTAGAAACTAGTATAACTGTGTCAAATATTAGATAAACGTTGGAAATAAATAGGAATATGAAATAAAAAAATAGAATTGGATTTAATATTAAACATTAGTTTAACATCTTTAAATTTGGTATAATTAATTATTTATTTTATTAAATTGATTTGATATTTAGAATAAATATTTTAACATTATCATTATTTATTACCTTATGGTAAATTTTCGACTAATAAAATTTATATAAACTCGATATCTTTAACGTGAGTGTTTATAATATGTTATATAATTGCCTCTTCCAACAAGCGATGCAGATGACATGGTGTAACACAACGTATCATGATCTTGTTGCTCGCCAATGTTAAACAAAGATGAGATGATCAAGTGTTGTACTATGTCGCTTATTGGAATACACACAATATAAACTGATACTCTCTGAACTAATTTTGGATATATTTAGAATGTATGCATCATGTGTATTACACGTAAATGTTCATAACTAGTTATTTGAAGAAGCTGTATTTTGGTGACATAGTAGATATATGTAGCTTTTAATAGTTTTACATTTGATACGCGTAAAATTACAAGATGAATAATATTATATTATGCGATCAATTAAATGATAATCCTCTGCTTAAATTAAATTGAATTGAATACTTTAATTAAATTTTTAATCTAATTTTAAATTAAACTAAATTTTTAATTTAATGATTGAAAGTTATTTTTGACGAATGTCCTAATTTATCAATTTTATTGCATATTTTTTAGAAATCATGGATTAAATAAATTGCATTATTTTTTAAATTTTGTCTTCCACTGCATGTCTATAAAATAATAGTAATTGGTAATAAATATTGATTTTATATATATATATATATATATATATATATATATATAATAATTTATCCAATATATATAATATATAATTTTTAACACTGAATTGAAAATTAGCTTAAATTAAATACAAGCTAATTTTTAACTTTTATTTATATTAAGTATTGTATTTTTAATTGCATAATCTGTTATTTGTTTTATTTTATGGATATGGAAGTTGTAAATCTGTTAACTATTTTATAACATTTGCATTTTCGTAAAGAACTAATAGTTATACGCACGTCTAAAAGATACGCATGTTACAAATACGTAAAAAATGAACGCAATTATGCAATATTTGTGTTGTTTTGTATAAAAAACTTAACTTATGACTCGCGCGCAAGACTATATAATTATTTTTTTTGTAACATCTATTACTCACGTGTAATGTATAAATCCTTCTTTTACGCGGTACTTTTATGAACTCGTTTCCCTGACGCCATATCAATGTCGGATTAGACGCAAGTAAAATTGATTCCGATGGACTAGCAGATTTCTTTGAATTTATGATCGTGTTCAAGGTCGGATTGCTTGATGTTTCTTCATTTTCGTTAGAATCTAAATCAATTTTTGACGAAATTTCGACACTCGTGCCAAAATTGTTGAAAATTATGATCACGAAACAACCGGCGAGAATTATTCTCGTTAGCATTTTCATTGTTCGTTTGTGAATACACTGGGGACACTGATTTTTTATAAAATACTTGTATCGCGATGCATGTTGTTTCAAGGAAGGGATAAATAGTTATAGCGGATGTATATATAGTAATGACAATCATTATCGTAGAAAATTGCAATGACCTCCAACTCGTAAAGCGTAACAAAGATGAACTCGAAGAAGCAAGTATGTACTTTTCTCAAAGGATTCGGACTAGTGATTTTAATTGCTTCCTGAGATCGATATCGCAAAATTCAAGCTCGTAATTTAAATGGACGGTCATTATATGTAAATAAGATCGTTAATGGAAAAAAATTGACAAGTAAAAATTTTATTTTACACATTTAATTGATTATATATTCTCGGAAATAAGATACATGTATATCTACATAAATTTCTCTGTATCAGTGGTATCTTCTAATATATTCCAGAAATGCACGATTTCAAAATGTGTGAGTAACATTAGCATTAGAAACGAGAGTAAGCAGTGCATATTAATAACATTCACTACTTCCTGAAGAGTATACTTACTTTCGCGCTGAACAAAGATTCATCGTAATAATGACTCATTGTGAATAGCTTAGCGAAGGGTACGATGAATACCCATGAATAACATTATCTCGCGTCTGCGATGGTCGAAGTGTTCGTTCTAAAATGCACCCCGTTATGGCCCGTTGCAGCCAGCACATCAGTGCTAAAGTAATTTCAAATCCTGTCACCCTTAACGGTTGGCTAAATCCCAATGTAAACAAAGAGCGCAAAGGCCTCATTGAGATTCATTAAAACTCTTGTCGCCCCTTTCAGCGCTACGAACTATGAGTTCTCTCCCCAGTCACACTGCCTCTTTGTTCTTAGAGCTTTTTATTATCTCCTAACACTAAAAGGTTTAAAAGTTTACCTTTGCCATTTGATTTAATTGTTTATTAAAAGCGACGCGAGACACCAATTGTGTAATGAATAAATTAGAGAGAGAATTCTAATGATGTCAGCCTTTCCTGTGCCGTATTTCGTGCCTCACGGAATAATGATTCATCCATACAGCACAGACGACAAACGTTCGTGTCGCTGAACATCGCGATCGCGTTTAAGTCGTTCGTGCCAAAGATGCAATTATGCAGTGGCGGACACCGTCAGGCAACCGCTAGATATCGCATTACGTAAATCTTCTTCGTAAGATCGATGATTACAGGCATCACGATCGCACAATGACGCAGAATCCTCATTAAGGTGCGAGAGAGTATTCCGCTGTGACCGAAGAATGTTTATTTCCGAGGAAACAAAACGCACCGGTGACTAATTTGTAACCGATTCTCTGCAGAGCTCTGTCGGATTGTTCGTTGTTTTTTCTCGAGAAATATTCGACAGTCATGACTGATGCGACACGACTGTGTCGTAAAAACCGTATCCAAGCAAATTTTTGCGTTCCTGTTGTTCTCGCACAATTAAACCTTACGTTTGTCAGCCGACTGTATAAACATATGTCTTTTTTTCATACTTGTTTTCACCAGTTTTCTGCTTTCCAAGCACCCTCGACCGATTTCACGGGCACGCATCATTTACCGTTGACGGAACGTAGAACATGGAGTGTCTAATGTAGCGTGCCTAATCGAGCTTGCAGTATTGGAGAATCATCAAGAGTATACTGGGGAGATGTATCTTGTCTATCTAATGTAAATATGTTGCAAATTAATGTTCTGGCGGCCCAAGGCTGTTCATTTTCCCACGGAATATGCTTTACAAAGCATCTTTATTCGTAGATGTCAAACAAAGAGTACATAATAACGAAAAATAAATTTTAGATAAAATGTATGGCTATGAAAGAGGAACTTGGGTAATATATACTTTGTAATATATAAACTATACGCATCGATATACTTTGATAATATACATGTGATGATAGTATATTTGAATATTTAATAAATTGTAATATATTTAAATCTTGGAATTATTCATAAAGATGGAAAAATATTACAATGTATTATAATTTAATAACGAATAGAAAAACAAAACGCAATGAATATAATTGTATTTTAATGAAACGATTAATACTGCAGGGCTTACAAAATATTACATTTACATATATTATATATGTAGGTATCTACATATCAATATAAAGTATTTATATTCATAAAATTATATTGAGATTTATAAATATTGCAATAATCCTGAAATATTACGGATAATTATTCATTTGAATATAATTTAATTACTCACAAAATATGGCAAATCTCTGTAAAATGCGACTAAAGATTTTATGTTAATAATTTCTGCACCGTGTTGATCAATTTTTCTTTAGTCATTTATGTGATATAATTAAAAAATAATCCATATTTGTTAGCTAGATTATTAAGTGTATTTTAAATTACATTTATAATTTATTATTTAAAAATTTTTTTTTTATAATTATATTATTATTGTACATAACTTATTTAGTTGTAATTAAAAGAAATATATTAACAACATATAAATTTGATGGTATTTTCAAGCATTATATTACTTAAAAATGAAAAGAATTATGAAAATTCAACAATATTCGTTATTTTAAACAAGATATCGCGGAGACCGCCGTTAATTTTCTTATGCGACACCGGCACTGCTGCCATTCGAATTACAAGACTCGTTTAGGACGTGACATATGGTTTTGACGAACGCTTTCCGAGAAAACAGAAACTCTTTCTACAACGCGTTTACACCCTTCCTTTCACCACGAGGACATGTTAGCCAGAAATAGCTGGACGGTTTAAAACCATGCTTTATTCTAGAAAGAGTGACATTTATGGCTGTTTTTGTAGTGATGTATTAGTGAGAGGGTGAACGTGGGCAAAAGTAACGACGCTGTCATTCTGTGTAGATAAAAATTTATTGGACTCGCAATACTAACGCTTGTCTGTACAATTATAGTCTCGCGCGCTAACTATGTTAATTAATATGTACAAAGGATTCTTTTGTTTAGTCGCGATTCGTATACTCATTGATAACGCGTATGCACACGACGCAAAAATACATTATGTACAAAAATACAAAAGAGGAAAAAAAGGAGAAAGGGTATTGGCACACTTGAAATACATTCATGTAGGCAAGCAAAGCGCGTATCACATGGCTCAGATTCGCCGTTTCACCATCGGCAGTACAGGTTTCCGAAAATGGCGGTACACGATGATGTACGTGTGCCGGTTTTGGTTAAATTGCGGGTGACACAGGTCGAACGAGCGCCCAACATATGGCGCAACAATGGGAGTTCAGTCTTAACTTTTACAATATGAATAATTCACGCGATTTCTACATGTACTTATTTATTATACGAGACTTCTTGACACATATTAGAAATTAAGAATATATATATATTCCTGTATAACTGTTAGAAATATAAATATATTCGTGCATGATTAAAATTTTAGATCTTTGTATAAAAATCACTATAACGATAAAATTTTATTATAAATTCAATTTTGATCGACGGTTACTCTTTAAGCGATTGCTTAATTGCACAGTGTTGAGAAGTAATGTGTGCATGTATATGTGTCTGTATGTATGTATATATATTTATATATATATAAATACATATATAAATATATATATATTTATTTATTAAAGTTGGTAAAAAACATGTTTTAAACATATTTTAAACATAATTTTTATAATACTGTCTAAAACATGTATGAAGCATTAAACATGTTAAAAAAAAACAATGCTTTTTGTATGAAAAAGACATTATCTTTCACCAATCCTGAGATATGTGTGTGTGTGTGTGTGTGTGTGTGTGTGTGTGTGTGTGTGTGTATGCGCGCATATACAGGATGTTCCCAAGTTAAATCGCAAAACTGAAAGTATAAATTTAGGATCTGAAAACAAACAAAAATTTTCCTCTGGACGTAAACTCGCAAATGCTTCGTTCTCAAGAGATATTTACTTTTGAAATTATAGAATTATAGAAATGAATAATTGAAATATTTTTTATTTTTGTTTTGAAGCTCGGAGGTCATTGATAGGTTTTTGTTCACAAAGCTCGTAGTTCGTAGCTCGTAGTTGTTAGTTCGTTGAATGCTTTTGTAGAATAAACTTATAATCATGCCGGATCCGGATCATCACCCGTTCATCGGATTTAACACTATTAGATTTTTTTGTATGAAGTACTCTGAAGCAAAAAGTGTATGTAGTACCTGTTAATGACCTTCAATCATTAAAACGATAGATGTAATACTTGTCTCCGATCTAGAGGTCATTATTTTGAACAAAATATTTAATAATTAAATTTTTATTATTGTAATGCAATAAAAAGAATAAACCTTATTTCGACGTTATTCATTCTTACAGTTCTATAACTTCAGAAGTAAATATCTCTAAAACGAAGCATTTGCGAGCGTACATCCAGAGGAAAATTTTTGTTTGTTTTTCGTTTTCAAATCCTGAATTCATATTTTAAATTTTGGTGGTTTGAAAACACCTTATATATTAAATTAGAATCTATTATGTCTATACATGACTACTATGAATCGCTCAAATTATACGAGAACCTAAGTACTAGAGTAATATATACACATACAGTTATTATGTATAGACATACATAACTGAAGTCTCAATAGAATTCCTTTGAATATAAATTTCGATATGTTTAAAAATTCAATGAAGAAATATCAATTTTAATAGCAAAGATTAGTCCTACTTTACAGCCAGTGAGCACGCTCAATTAAACGTATCGCGTTAACTGAGTGTGAAAGTCTTGTAAACAAATAATTAATTGACTGAATGTTGGCCTCTCTTCTGCTGACATCGCCCAACAATATGCCATCACTGCGAACAACTCGTCCGGGCAATTTATTGGTTGTGCCAGTCTGTATCCCTCTCGGAGATAGGATGCCATTTCGAATGGATCTACTTCTCCATAAGGCTGTTGCGCCAACGTCGTTAGCTCCCACAATAAAACACCGAATGCCCACTAAAGTTGGGAAAAATATTATAATAAAAATGTATCATTTGAATATCGTACATCATTTTAAAATGATCATTATTGCAATAATATAAATCGTGAATGTGGAATAAAGATCTCAATTAAAATTTTAATTCCTCAAAAAATGGAAATATTTTAAAAATAATATTTAAAACAAACAAATTAAAAGATTTAATATTTTTTTCGGCAGTATTTTTTATTAACTCATATATGTTACTTACCACGTCAGAGGCTGTGGTAAAGTTCTTATTGAGTAAACTTTCTATTGCTAGCCATTTAATAGGGCGATTTTCGTTATCGCCGAGGCAGTGATAATCTTGTGGGAACAGATCTCTAGCCAAGGCATTATCCGTAATCTGCACTCTCAAGTCATCGTCCACTCTGAAACATGAAAATCAGTGAACTTGAGATAACGATTGTCGAAGAAAGATCACGCGATTTCATTACCGCGTCGTTATAAGTTGCCCTAAATGAAAATTAGACAGATACTGGCAATTAAAGTCTTACGGTAACACACTGGTTATTAAGTCTACGCGCAATTAATTCGGTAACGAAACGTAACGACTGCAGCTTTGTATGGCGATAGAAAACCCGCAGCCAAGCTATATTGAAAGCGATATATCTTGCAATAAAAATTGTACGAACACTGAAAGATTTTTAGAACGCAGAAAATTAAATCAAGAAAGTAATGTAAAATATATGTAGTCGAATAATGTAGACTATTTTTAGTGATACTTTAAGGATAATCCCGAGAAGACTCATAATTATTTATTATTCTTACACTTACACGCAATTTCTGGCAGCTAAATCTCTATGAACGAGCCTCTTTCTATGAAGGTATTGTACACCTTTAGCAGCCTGAAGTGCCATTTCGACGACTTCCTGTGTTGTAAGAGCCCTCGGAGGCCCTTCGTTACTGAACTTGCACCTTAATAGAAATCTTTTCATATTTTTGTAACCCGTGTGTGGGTACAGCAGAAAAGGCGCGCTTCTGTCCTCGATGGAAACACCGAGGACCGGAAGTAATGCTGGATGACTGAGTCCATACAAAGCTAAACCTTCTCGTAATAGAAGAGCAACCTTTCCGAAACAAAAAAATTATACTTTAACCATCTTAGTCGCATTTTAAAACAATAAAAATTGTCTCTTTCAAAGAAATAAGATATTCCATTTTTTTTAAGAAAATAATATGAATAAGAGATACCATATAGTTAATATATTTTATTTTTATATTGATTAAAATTATCCTCAAGAGTATCATTAGATACTCTTTATTATTTCAAATTAACCTACTTGTGATTGAGATGCGTGCTCGGCAGCAGTTTTCACCAATACGTCCTTCGGAGTTAAAGCGCCTTCTTCATGGTAACTGCCTCTGTACACGCGTCCAAACGTTCCCTCCAATTCAACACTAAGCAGACGCACTCTACATCTGTAATACGAAGATTAATTATTTCATTCAATTTTATAATTTTTCTATTTCTGCGGCGTTATTTATAAGTAACTCAAAATATTTACTTTTATATATAATACTTAATGTGATAAACAAATAATTAATCTATTTCTATAAAAATGATAATCGTTCAATTAGATTTTTGTAAAAATACTATTTGATATTTCCGATGTATCTTTTTATAATAATTTAATTTAATTCGTTGTGGATTTAAATAATAATCACCTTTGTACGGTGATTTCTTGGATTCTTTCATGAAGTTCTCTATTAGAACGATCATCCAATCTTCTATAAGATGATCCCGACGCAGCAGAAGTAGGTGGAGGTGTCTCTGGTGACAGAAAAGTTTGCGCAGGTCCCACTCCAGTGCCTCTTTCCATACTGCACGCTGAGCTGAGTCCTCTGGATTCCCTGTAATTCATAAATCTTTTATGCATATTCGATAATTCGGTCAATTATTTGATTCTTTTTAATGGTACGTTTCACTCACTGAAGAGGATCTCGATGTCTCCTAGTCTTCTTATCACGCACATAGTAGATTATAATCAAAACGAAAATAGCTGCCATGAACGCACAAGCGCAACCAATTGCCACGTAGAAAATCTGACCGCCGGAAGTGGAATCAGGAGCAGCGACTAAGACCTCTTCAGGCTCAGTGAGAGTCTCTTTCAAGTTCATACAAATTTTTTTTCGCTTAAACTCCAAGCTGGTCGTGTTCTTTCTTGATACCGAGACGTTAATTCGGAGACTGAGGTCGACCTCTGCATTGTAGGGCCCGCAGTGCAACGATAAGGCCCATGTTTGTAAACCACCGACTGGTATCTCGCCGATGTGGGAAATGTTTAAAGAACTACTCAACGCCGTAGGATTGCTGATATCCACGAACATCGTATATGGCAGCTGAAAGTATCAAGAATTCCACACTTTTATCTTATTACTCTCTGACTAAGGTATTCTGTTAATTTACGCAAAATTAGAAATTTGAAAATCTTCGAAAAAAGTGTTACAAAAAGTCTGTACCAACAAATCAAAGCTTATATCGTATGAATTAATCAACGAATAAATGCATTTGTAACGTAGAACGAAGTGACGAAAGGTTTGAGAAAAGGAGCGCATATGAGCGCATTTAAGCACGAACTGTAATTCGCAAAGAATACGCAAAATATACGGAACAATGTTGAAGAGCGTGAAGTTTAGCTGGCTGCCGCTCCGTCATAATCTTAAGAACGTTGAACTATAATCTCGAGCGTACCATTCTCGGAAGACAATTTGTGCTCAGCGAGAGCAAAACAAGTCCAGAGGATTTGCGAGAACAAGAGTGGAAAGAAAACGGGGAGGGGAAGGGGTGGTAAGGCCGGAGGAAGAAAGCGAGGCTAGACGATGCAGAAACAGCAGCAAAGCTCACAGCTGATTACTAGCTCGCAGTGATGATCGGTTCTCGGCTGGCCACGAGGAGAATACCTCGTCAACTTGCCGGCTTGTCGCTACTGCTATCTAACGCTCTCCTGCGGTCTTTCACGGCCACGAAGACCGTGGCTGTAGCACTATGTGGCCAACCAGGCAGTTTCTTCTAAATGGACTAGCGGATTTCCAATTAAGAGAACTTAGATGGCGAGAAACGAGATTTTTTCGTAATGACTTTCCTGATTCCTAACATATTTCAGTCCGTAATTTTGTTAAAATATAAAATGTAGATGTAACAATGTGGAAAAGATAAAGGAATAATTATTTTTTTGTTTAACAATAATTGAGAGAATAAGAGAAAGAAGTATATATATGACTATAATTACAATAATTAAAATGTATAAATGTACTTGATCATCTGCACTTTCTTTAGCAGTAAATATATAATTACTTATGACAGATGGCATGACAACAACGTTGTGATGAATGGGACATTAAAAAAGATATCCTTGCGCGGTTAGGCCTTTGTACTTTTGCAAAGGATGTCAATTTTCATACAGCTTCGGAAAAATTCTCACATACCATATTCGACTCACACAATGTAGCTTCTGAAGTCTCTCGTTAATTTTGAAATCCACCATATGCTTCATTCTCAATACAAACGACGTTGCGTGATGCGCGAGGGAAGGAAAATTGCTACCCGCACTATACAAATATCCGCGCAGCGAACGTCTGATCGAAATTGAATGCGCTGCCTGGCGCGTAAAGCCGTCCAGGAGGATTCCCCTGATAATTCGACGTGTACGGCGACGCGTCCGGAAACCGCTTTATCGAGACACAATTCCCGCAGGTTTGATGGACAGGCGCTGGTTTAAGTACCATTCAAGCCACTCGGTTTTGCCGCGGAGGTGACGGATGTCTTTGCGTCGCTCGTCAGTCTTCCTCATCTCTTTCTTCAGCTCCCTCTCTCACCCCCCCCCCTACCCCCTCTTCCAGTTGTCTGCTATATGCCGAGACAACTGGAAGAAGTGGATGGACCACTTTGTCCCGCTCCTGGATCCATTCTTTTTTTCCGCGCATCGTCGACGAGTCAATCGGACACCCCGCCGCATTCTGCCCACTTTTCGCCGCCACTTTGTCAATGTACCACGGATGTCGACGGTGAGCAGCGGGCAGAAGTGGTTTGCGTAGCTTCGCCGATGACTCATGAACGAGAAAAAGAGAGACAGTCTGGTTTCGATTTTATATCCCGCATGAATATGCAGCTGCGCGATTCTCACCATCGTAACTATCACGCCGCGTCGCGCCGCGTCGTTACATTAAGAATAACATAAAATTAATTTGCACAGGAGGATACTCATCATTTATTCCGAGTAAAAAGTAAGAGAAGTCTATAAGTAGAGTCTTAGTAATATTAACAGATATATACGATAAAAATAAAAAAAAAAGAAATATATTGATGTAAGACGAAAAGGAAATAAAATATATACGAGATATTTTAATTAAATGCGAAAAAAAATCTGAGACAATTATCAATTGTTCCCTGATAAATGAAAATATATCACGTAATTTCCATCGCACTTTGCTATGATTGAACGTTGCACGTTTTATTTGTTCTTGATTCGAGAAGATTTAAAGTGGCTACGCCACTGCGATGTGCTGAGAACTTGAAAAACTGTAAAAGGTATACGATATGCCTCGATAACCTCGATAAGTACGCGCTAAAAGGACACGAAAGAAACGCGAATAAAGATCGGCTAAAAGTCTCGAATGGCTGGACGGTGTGATCGCTGAACCCTGAAAAACGCTGAGGTTCGTTGGATGAGATCCGTCTCTGAAGTGTCTTACGTGCGGTGACGCGAATTCCTACGTTAACGAGCAATTTCAGCATTTCTCAGCCGCGGGCGACTTTAATCCCGGCGAAGAAGCGCAAAGAGACGCGGGAGGAATGGTAGAAAAGTCAGAGGAACGTAAATAAGCGACATAGAAGCGCTCGCTGAGAATTGTGCACGTAAATATCTTGCGCATGGATAATTCCTGTCCTCGACCACGTTATCTGCCCGCTTTAAATTCTATTCCTTCAAATCCTTTTGCACTTGTTCTTGCGTAACACGCTAACCGGGATTTCAACGAAAGACAGAAACGCCTTCTGCGCTCTAAATATGTATTTTATAATTAACTCGTTTTAAAGTCAAATTTCTAACTTTATGAGAATTATACGGTACAATTAATGGAAATTAAATTGTCAGACTTTCAAGGTATACTGCTCAACAATTCGCATGGTTATATCTTTAAACTTTTGATATATCTTTATTACTGACGCCTTTTTACGGCACGGTCTGCAAAGTACATTTATGTGCCAGCTTAAAATATTAACGCTCGTATTATTTTATTATATGAACTTACCGGTCTACCAGCGAGATTTTCCCATGTGAAATGGAGCTTCTGAATTATCGCTGGTACAGGAACAACGAATTTCATAGCATACTCATTTACGGTTCCTTCTCTGACGTAAAATAATTCTCCATCCAATCCTGAAATGCATAAGGTGTATCTTTCATTTAACAAAAAATCTAAAGAAATGGAAATTCTTCGTGTTCTGTTTAGGGAATTGACATGCAAATCTTTTTTCATATGTAACGTGACTTATTGCATTTAAAAAGAAGAGAAGTTTATTTGTTTGTAGGTTTTATCCCCCGTGCATAAGAAATTATCTGATACAGATTACGAGTGGATGACTCATTCGGTTCCACTCATGATACAATTAACATAGCGTGCGGTTGTCCCACAAATCTGCGAGAGTACTGCGTATCGTGTGACTTCAGCATTAAAAATGCCTACTCATATGTTTTAAGTGTCACGAAAACGTGATAAATAATTTTGAAAGTAAAACTGTATAGAGTTCTAAAGAAATTATTTCCCTATCGACAGCAAAATGTAAATTAATATTTATAATAAAAAGAGTACGAACGTATTAAAATAAAATAGAAAGATAATGGCAGAATTTCAAATTTAGATAATGAATTTACTATGTCTATATATGACTTCTTGAAAGCGAATAAAAATTGCATTAAATGAAACAAGAAAGATAGCTTTTGTAAGGATATATATAATTTTTCTTAGAATATACCGGCTCACTATTATATAGTTTATTCAGAAATTAATATAATTATTGTGTATATAAAAAATAATTCAATGCTTTAATCAACGTATTAAATTACTTGAAAGACAGAAAACTGGTTTGCCTAAATTATCCTTAAACGCATACATAAATAATGAATACTTGCACAGGGATACAAAGCGTAGTTAGTATACAGGCAGAACAACAAATTGCCGCGTGATGCGCATTCGCTTCGCTAAATTTTCGCCCATCTCATCGGACCCACGCTTAGCACATATTATGCTACCGGACGACTCAACCGAAGCGAAGAGCTTGGCGTGCGGGAGCTGCAAGGTTACGTGGGCGAGCTGGCGAAGGAGTATCGGGGAGAAAAGAAGGAGAGAATCTGCCGTGGAAGGGACCGGGACATGGGCACACGTCGTGTTCTCCCTCGGCGAGGGTCTATCCTTTGCGGTTGTATCTGATAGCGTGCTTAACGAGGCACGAGTTGGATTTTTAAGTCACCCGAAGACAATGTGCCGCACTGCCCCCACGGTCGTGTCTTTGCCTTTGGTTTGCCTGGCTCGTTTGGCATCTCCCTGCTTCGCTCTTTCTGTAGTCCTACGGCCTTTACCGGTTTTCTGCATCAGATATCGTATAGGTATACCTACGACCTCGGTACCGGTCGGTTTTGCGACCGGGTTCTCTTCTCACCGTCCCGGCGCGGGTGCCGGTCGTGGTGATCGTAAAAAAGATGAAAAGAGACCGTACGAGTGTCCCTTCAAAAATAGTGTTATATATAAATCTGTTGGACTACCTGCCTAAAAACCGATTTCTCCCAAGAATATCAAAAGTGGCATGAAAGAAATCAACAAGAGGCACCAACGGCAGGTGCGCTTAATGCCTTTGAATGGCGAATATTGGCGAATATATAGTATTAAGCAAACAACCATAAGGTATTCGTTGCTATTTCCTTTCAGAACTTCGTTGCTTCGTGAATAATATACGATTCAATTCACAAGGATAAAGGTTTAATGGATAATAATTAATTGCGCATCGGTACGTTTCTGCTGGATAATCCAATTCGCGCGTATATTCCCCGTAGGGAGTCATGGTCGTTAATCCGGCCCAGTCCACTCCATTCCCGCGCGTTGGAAGGTAAAGTGTAATCCTTCCGGCATCAAAGATAACTTCATCTCATCATCCTCTCTTCCCTTCGTTGCCGACGACGCGGCGACGCTCCGAGTATGACCTCGTTACTGCGGCTTGCCTCCGCCTCTTATCTAGTCAAGAAGGGTGGCACTATTCCTCTTCGACACTCTTCCCGTGCGATTATGCGGGAACTTGTAAGCGGGTGGAAGCAGGTCGTCGGGTACCAAAGATTCTTTGATGTCTGTTATGTCTACAGCGCGAACGCGGGAGCCAGAAAGCGACGAAAGGGACGTACGAGCTGGCGAGAAGGATAAGAAGAGGTTCAAAGAGGGAAAAAGCCCTTTCAGTAAAGGCGTCGACCCTTGCAACTGCTGCCAGGCACAATTGTCATGAGGGATTGTACGGAACTATAGGCACCTTTTTTCACACAACTCGCACCTACCATCCTGTCCACCGTCCACTAACTACCGATCGTATCTCCGTTGAATCTAATACGGAATTATTGCCACTTTTACAAGCCATGATGGTAGATAAGAAGCAGAAAGAATTTTTGAACCACTGTTGAATTTGGCCGGTTTCTTCGTGCGCAGATAAAGATCTAGGATTCCTTTGGTGTATTTTATAGGAAGGCTCGATTGAATCTTTATAACTTAATACATAAGCAATTTTTTTTACTAACAGGTAAGAGAAAATAATACATTGCTCGAAGAAAAAAGAATTTTGTAAAATGTATAAAAAGAGTTTATTGAGAATCATTTAATATTTAATGAGATAGAATCTTTTTTTTTAAACCATATTTGATAATTAATTTAGTAAAATTATAAATTTAATAAAAGCGCAAAAGCGACTTCAAAAGTCTTATTTTGAATTAAATAATATATTATATTTACCAGATTATAATAATTTCGTCTATAGTAAGGATATTCGAGATATTTCTTTGAGTCGCATAAAACGAGCTTGTAACTTTGCAGATTAAATTGATTGATCAAAGCAAGAAAGAAGTAGAATAGGTAAATGGTAGATAAAAAGTTTATTCCGGAACTCATAGAAGTACGATATCTTGAATACTTTAAACTGTTTGAAGGAAGCTATCGTTATGGTACAGTTTGTGAAGACGCAAAAATTCTAAAGGTACTTTTTACTGCCCTTGAAAGGACCAAATAAACATATAATAGAAAAATGCTGCCAAGTACGAGCGCAGCCGGAGAAATTTCACACGCCACGGTATTCTGCACTGTCAAAATACGGCATTGAGCCACGTTGACGAGTAGAGGTTGTCGAATAATAGAGCGGATACTAGGGGTGCGAATGAGACGTTTAAGACAGTGAGGTATTATTAGAAGAAGTAACCATATCTTTTTGAAGAAATCCGAAAAGATAAAAATGAATCTAGAGAAAATAATGCTTTAAAATAAATAGTTTAATAAAATTATTATCTTAACGTACTAAAATTATGAGGGATTACAATTTCATTAATTTCTTTAAATATGTATATGCAGCGTTAACACGTAAATCAACACAAATCTATTAACAAATTAAAGAACGATACGTAACATGCGATTTCTTCTTTTAAATAATTTTATAAGATTTTCTAAACTAATTTAAAATTTGTCTTTATTTTTCAATACAAGACATATCAGGAAAATTCTATTTAAAAATATTTAAAGAAATTTTATCTTCGTTATTTCTTAGATAGAATTTTTAAAACAAAAATAGAGAATGTGTTTATGTTAATAAAATAAATAATAAAATGAAAGTGAATGCTGTGAACAAATAAAAACGAGCGAATGCGTACATAACTTAAAGGCGCGAAACCAACCGCGAAATTTTGTGGTGTGACGTGTCCTCCGCTGTCAAAATACGCTATTGAATAAAGTTGACGGGTGCAGCTCCGAGACTGGTCGAATAAAAGACCGAATCTTGAAGTGCCGGGTCCATGCGGAATTACCTTCAACAGGGTCTGCCACCGGCAGGGACCGAGAGAGGGAGGTTCTGGGTCAGAAACCCAACACCTTCCGAATATGAAATCCAGTACGAGCATAACGAGATCCTCTCGTGGCGAGGTTCTTAAAAGCGGAGACCCCGGACAGACAGGCGAAATATTGGGAGAGAAAGAGGGAGAACGAAAGAGAGGGAAATGCAGATGGTGCGGTGCAGGTCGGAGGAACAGGAAATATTGGATTCACGCGACGCCTACTCACAATGCAGTCCGCGCGATTTTCAGTCGATTCTCGTTCCATGCCGTCGCGTCTCGTATATCAATAGCGTGAACGATAGGATGCCATGGATAGAATATTGAGATCTCGAATAGGTCTATTATCGAATGTAACGAGATTATGGAAAAATGTGCCTGCAGTATTCGTAGTCGATTCATTTTAAAACTATTTTAAAGTAATATTTCAAGTAATATTTTGCTGATGCAGCTTCCTGATCGGTTCGTAACATCTTAAGATTGAACTTAAGATAGTCTTAAATATAAGACTCGACTATGAATACTAGTCATAACAAGAAAGAAATAAATCGTTTTATATTTCTATTATTATGAGAAAGCCTTTTGGGCGTTGAGAGTTGTATAGCTGCTCTCTGTGTCAAAAATCTGGATTCAAATCCATTCAAAACACACATTAGATTTTATTTAATCATCACCTTTCGGAAGGCAATGACAAATCACCGAGTATCTTTGTCATAACAATTTCTTCTGCTATGGCAGTTCGGATCCGGTGTTGAAAACTATTCCATTTATCAGTAGACATATGCAGAAAAGGTCATCACATCTCCGACAAAAGATGACGGACCGAGAAGAAGAAAGAAGAATGAGAAAAGACGAAACTGCGAAAAAGAATTACTACGTCGTTTTTTGAAATGTATCTGTCATTTTGTACTGTTTTTCCTTCGTAATGGATTGAAGTACCATTTCAGGAATGTCTATTTTTTGCTACGTCGATTTTGTTTCGCACAGGGGTGGTTCACAATTGCATCCATCACGCGCATCGTGACAGAAAGGGTGATAAATCTCGATATTCCGAATCCGAACACGAAGTTGCTGCAGACGTACGTTGAGCGCGCAACGAGCGCAAAGGCTCGCTGTGATTTATGACAAATTCCGCCCCGCGCGTAAAGGCCGAAGTTTTCTGAGGAAAGTCCGGTGTTAACGCGCTCCAAAAATGATCCGCGAGCGAGGTTAACGACCAGATCAGCACCAGCTGGCATATACCCGCCGATATCTCGGCTCGCCGCCTCGAGAGATCTAATAACGCGTTCGCGTCTGTATGCGTACACGTA